AAAATCCTATACTGTCCTCGTTGTAGCGTGCGCACACGTAAAAAAGCACTCACATCGGAATAACCCTCAAATTTCGCTTCTTGTTCCATGGAAAGCTTCCGGGGTTGAATCCCTACCGCTCGTTCGGGGCGTTGACGGTGCGGTATGCCCTGCATGTAATCGTAGTCTGAGAGAACACTGCCCAAACCCGAAGCAGATCTCGGTTGACCGGACACGCGAGGGGGCATCTGTTGGGCTTGCTTCGCCGTAAATAGTCCAGCTGTCTGTGTGCCGGGTTGCAGAGGGATCAAATTTGAAGGTGGAGACATATTCTCAATCTTTCGTTTCTAGAATCAAAAATAGTATTCGAGAATCCGATCAAACCAGAAAATTTGAATAAGTAGACAATCCTGAGCAAAATTTCCAGATTCTACTGGCAAGAAACATGCCCTGTTCAACTATATATAACAAACGATTTATCAAACAGTGTGTCTGACGCTCTGTCACCACTTGATGTGATATGACGCGCGGTCATTTAGGGTTTCACTGTAGGAGAGGAGAGAAGATTATGTTGTTTTAATTGACGTAAAAAGGAGCTAGGATGATTTTGCCGCAGTTTTTGAGGAGTGAGCTAGATGGTGTTGTGCTCCTGAATTTCTTGTTGCAGCTACGGACGACAGCGAGCCACTGGAGCAGAAGACGGAACCTGTGGAGCTGACAATTACTGACGAGTCCCCGTGATATTGTTGGTTTTCTCCCTCTCCCCGTTCCCGTCAACTCTGAACAATGTTCAACTCCCAGTACTTCATTGGCCTCTCGTTCCTTTGTGGCGTGTTCGTCATTGTTTTTACTGCTATTACACTTTTTGTTACATCTCGGTATTTTTCCTTTGGTTTGATTGTGGAGGGCTTCCAAGATGACCAGGAGAAAGAGAAATCGGGGCAATAAAGAACTTTCAACAGTCACAGTCTGCTCAAAACCACAGAAGGTGTCAAAATTCGAATCCGCTGGCTCCTCCGACTCGATAAGTGGCTTGCACACTGCATCATAACTAAGAGAAGGACCTTTAGTTGATGACCACGGGATGCCTCTTAGGATGATATGTAAAACCAACGCCGATTGACATACGTGCAGCAATCTGAAAATGATTCCACACAAGTGATATTCACACCTCGTATTAGTTTATACTTACAACCCATAACAAACTGTGTCTCATTCAAGCAGTTCAACTGATATTATCCATCTTCAGAAACTAAATTTACCACGGCACGTTTAAAGAACCACTAGAACTAGTTGGGAAAACCAATGACAATATTTAAGTAAGAATGGTCCTGAATTTAGGTGGCCTACCTACTAGTAACTGTGGCCCTAAGGACAATGTGGTGAGACTAGTGTTTATGTAAAAATTCGATACCATGGTATCTAGTCTAATTAATTAGGATTTGTAAAATGACACTGCCTAATCAGTGACCGACAAACATATGTGTGCGGTCAAGCAACCGATCTAGCTAACGCTGAGAATTTCCTACAATACTTAGGTACGCAGGATAGCAAAATACCGCCTGGATTTATGAAGGGTCCACAATTTTACTTTTGTATGCAGATTGAAAAACTCGAGTCCTAATTCCAACAAAAAATGCATGCTGAAACATGGATTCTATTCACACTTTTCATTTTTAAAAGCAGGTGCAAACTAATGCGTAAAAGTGGGTTAACCTACCTTGCCTAAGGGTTCAGCTTCGTCATTCCTCTCCGAAAATGTCTGCTTTCTTCTACCTTTATCGCTCTGGATGA